GATGATATGATAAATGAAAATGAAAATGGACTCCCAAATCCTGCACTGTTATGTGAGACACTCCACACCACATCCCACTCCCCCTCTCACTCGTATGTTTGTAGTCATGCACGTGTGTGAGCACGCGCACATCAACAAACATATGAGTGAGATGTGTGGAGTTAAGTGATGTCTTGTTGGGTTGCACTCTCTGAGATTTCCATACGTATGAGTGCAATTGTAGAGGCTTTGACTTGCTGGTCATGTGCACAGGAGACTACAGGTGAGGTGTTGCTTTGCTGTAATGGGCTTGGTGGGATAATCTATTGTTTGCTTAGCTGTAGGGCAGTACTACAGTCGCACAACACCATCACGAACTGCCTTCCTTGTCCAATGGTAATGTACTTCCATGTGTTTTATCCGTTGACTCATCTGCTCCCCCTTCGCAAGCGCAATTGCACTTCGGTTGTCCACAAAAAGGACAGTCGGTTCTTCTTGTGGGAAGCCGAGGTCTTCACACAAGCGCCGAAGGCAAGTAGTTTCTCTTGCCTCTCCAAACATTGCAATGTACTCAGATTCAGTTGTTGATGTAGCAATCACTGTTTGCCTCTTCGTCCTCCAATTGACAGCAGCTCCTCATAAAGTCAACACGTAGCCTCCAACTGAGTGACACCCTACTTCGTTCGCATAGTCCGAGTCATGTACCCTCGGAGCACCAAGTCCCCTCCCCTATAGACAAGACCCACGTCTGCAGTGTTTTGTAAGTACTTGAAAACTCATTGAATTCCAAAGACAGTTGTAGCTGCTGGTTTGCTGGCTTGTCTGGCCAGCACATGTGTTGCGTATGTGATGTCTGGCCTTCCTGCTGTTGCGTATGATCGGCTACCTCCCATCCCAAAGTTTGCCAAAGCTTGTGAGATGTACTTTGTAAGTCCCAGTGAGATTGTGTTAGTGGCAGCAGCTACGTTTAGGCCCAAAAACGGCGTCATGGTCTTGCTGACGGTCAAGGTAAAGTTATGCTTCATATGTTGAATCACAGCTTCAATGCATTCTTCGTCATGAGACTGGATGAGGATGTCGTCAACGTAGGTAAGTAGCCACACCGAGGGACGGGTCAGATTCTAACTGCACCATGTCATCTCCAACAGCACACCACGTAAGTGTTGATGCCACATGCGTGGTGCTTGTTTCAAACCATAGACAATAGGCTTGAGTTTCCATACCTTGTCTCCATCTCGTCGAGGTTCACGAGGTCTTACGGGCACGTCTCTGTAGGTGGGTGCGTAAAGGAACGCATTGGGGATGTCCAGCTGCACCACCTTCCACTTTGTGGCCGATGCGCCAGCAACAAACATGCCGGTGCTGACAGGGGCGTATGTCTCATCGTATGTTCCCCATGTCTGTCCGCATCCCTTCACCACCCAGCGTGCCTTGAATCGATTCGACTGGCCGTGCTCATCTCATTTCACTCTTAAAACGACTCCTTCTGTCAGCACCGGGACTCCCTTTGGTACTTCAGCCCTGTCCAAAGGTTCATATGCTTCCAGCTCGTCAAATTTTGCCAACTCTGCATCCACCGCAGCTTGCCAAAGAGGTGTGTACGGGTCCTTGGTTACCTCCTTCGGTGTTTTGGGCTCTTTATATGTCAGCTCGACCATGGGCACGCCGGCTGCTGCACATCCCAACACGTGTTGTTGTAAGCTGGGAAGGTGTTGTTGTAAGGTGTTGTCGACTCCTTGTGGCATGTCATGGTCTGTCCGTTTGGCTTGACCTGCTTGCCGATTTCCAAACAACACCTCCAGCCCTGTCATGCTCTTCCCACCTTGTCCTTCTCCAAGCACAGTCACAGTTGGGTTGACATGAACCCATCGTGGAGATGTGTCAGAATGTGCTATTTGTCTAGCCTGCAGTGGGGTACTCAATAGTGAGTACAGCCCTTTAGGGTTTCCAATATGTACTCACCTGCTTGCTAGTGCAACCTCTCTTCGTCTATTCTCATTCCTCGTTCTATTCTCAACATGGTTTCAGAGCAGGTCGACCCCCCCGGGTCGATCCTGTGGATGGGCCCACCGTATGCTTCCGCTGCAATCCTTCGTATCGCGCGCCCCGGGCGCGCGACGTTTCCTGCCTGCCGCGCGCTAGAGGCGCGTAGCGTTTTTTTTCTTCCCGCCGTGCGCTTGGGGCGCGCGGCGGTTTTCTGCCCGCCGTGTGCCCCGGGGCGCGCGGCGGTTTCCTGCATGGCGCGCCCCCCGTCGACCCTCGCGTCGCCTCAGCGGGACCCGCGCGCGCCCCCCGTCGGCTCTCGCGCTGCCCCTCTGGACCAGCGCGCCGCACCCCGTCGACCCTCGCGTCACCCTTGGGGACCCGCGCGCTGCCCCGCTGGACCCGCGCGACGCCCTGCGGGATCCGCGCGCTGCCCCCCGTTGACCCTCGCGTCGCCCCCCGGGGACCCGCGCGCTGCCCCGCTGGACCCGCGCGCCACCCCTGGAGACCCGCGCGCCGCCCTTCCTGGACCCGCGCGCCGCCCCAGGGGATCCGCGCGCGCTGCCCCGTCGACCCGCGCGCCGCCCCTGAGGATCCGCGCGCGCCGCCCCTTGCCCTCGTGCAGCTGCGGGGCGGCTTCTTCCCCGCCCCCTCCCCCCCCCCCCCCCCCCCCCCCCCCTCCTTCCCCGTCGTCTCTCTGCTGCGCGTGCAGCCGTGGGGGAGGGTATGGGGGTGGCGGGTAAGTGGGTGGCTGATGTGCGACGTCCCTTGCTCCTCCTCCTCATCTCTCTCCCACTACTGCAGCTGCCGCTGAGGGGGGTGGGTGTGTGGGAGCCGAGGAGTGGCGCTAGGGGGGTGTCGTGGGCGTGGAGCTAGGGGTTCAGCAGGGGGTGTGTGAAAGGGGCGTGGGACAGTTGGAGGAGGTTGTGCGGAGGCAGCCGTCGTGTCGCCATCAGCGCCAGTAGTCCGGAGCCCTCGTGCTCTCGGTAGCCCAGCGAGCCTGCTGCGCCAGTCGCCCGTGGGTCAGTTGCTCCAGCCGCTCGGCGTAGCCGCGGAGCCAGTTACTCCTGTAGTCCGGGGCCCTTGCTCCGGTAGCCACTTTGTGAGCGCGGCTCCTGTTGCCCGTGTGTCTGCGGCTTCACCCGTCGCCTCCTATCTCCACTCCTCTCACAGTCTCTCCTCCTCCTCACTTGCCCTCTGTGACTGCCTCTAGCTTTACTTGTGCTTGTGAACTATTCTATACCTGCTTGCTGTGCTGATTATACCCCACTTTGACTATGGGGGTGTGTCAGAATGTGCTATTTGTCTAGCCTACAGTGGGGTACTCAATAGTGAGTACAGCCCTTTAGGGTTTCCTATATGTACTCACCTGCTTACTAGTGCAACCTCTCTTCGTCTATTCTCACTTCTTGTTTCTAGTCTCAACAAGATGTGTCATGTGCAGCAAGCGGGACCCCATCAGGTGGGTAGGCAAAGTCATAGAGATTACTTGCCTTGTTGTCTATCTCATTGTCTTCAGCACCTTTAGGGACGGTCATTCCTAGTACTTGTACTCACTCTTCCCTACTAGTCAATCATTCCTACGTTCTATGTCAGACAAATAATTGCCAGGAGCCTGAGTCGGACGAGGACTGTTAGAATGGTCTAAGCTACTAGCAGAAGCTATAGTAGTCTTAGAACCTCCTCCTAAAGCGTAGGAATATTAGCAGCCAACTTGGGCATGAACCATGCTTGAACCAAAGGGATTTCCAAGAAGTGAAGTTCCAACAAGAGAGAACCCTAACCTATAGAGTTCGGGAGGTGGTCCTCTCTAAAGAGTGTACACCACAAGTTCTCCCAACCCAACCAATGTATTCTACACTACTATAGTGTAGATCTAGCACAACATATGTTTGTTGGAGCAACCCGAATGAACCATAATTCCAACAAGGACGACGACCTTTCTTAACCTAGACTAGCCATAAAATGTGTTTAGGCTAGGATAGTATTTCTGTTAGTGGCTAAACTTGTATGTGAATGTTAATCTTAATGGAAAATTAGTGCTGCTAGATGTAAAAGCCCAGGTGGGGCTGTTAGAGTAACGGCAATAATTAAACAAGTGTATTTTTTTTTAACAAGGGTGCGCTTATAATAAGTAACGGTTTCAAAAGGGGTGCGCTTCTAAATGAGGATCGGCCATAAGCGCATTGCTCCATATACCTTATAAGCGCATGCGCTTAACATAGGCATGCGCTTATATCCGGGGCAGGGGTTCTTTTATCAGAGTAAATTACTCTGTATCTCTGAAAATCAGAGTGATTTTTGGGGGGTCACTCTGACGTTTCTGGGTAACTTTTTTTGGAAGATAAGTTTTCTCTGATTTGCCAGGGTTTTGATTTTTGCTACTCTAATAGACCTGTGTAAATTTCTGGCGAATGATGTTTTCTCTATACAGGGTACAGTTATTTCGACCGAGCACCCTCCCCTGAATTGGTGGAAAATGGCTATTTAAAGCTACGGTCTACATTCTAAAAGGGCTTTTTTGGGGGTTAGGGTCGAACACACCCCACAACGCCAGATGATTGGGGAACGAATTGAGCGGATGGGAGAAACACATGGGCGATGAATACACAACATGATGGCGATGCCAACCCATTTCGTGAGGGGGTTGGGTTGGGGGAGAAACCGGGCACTGGCGGAAGAACAAAGTCTCCCCCACACAACCACAACGGGATTTCAACCCCGCACTCCACAACCCACGCACCGAGCATATCCATTCGACAAAGGGGAAATATTTTACATATGCTGTCTTAGAACCCCGAAGCAAATAGTATGAGCTTCTAGCGGCTCGTCGGCGTACGCTCGTCGCAGGCTGAAGGCGGGCGTAGGTTTATTATACCCAGCTAGAAAGGCGACCTGAGGGTAATGAGGCCTTAGGAGCTCCGTCGAAGCGGACGCGTCGCGACCTCACAGCCTCGCAGCTTCCTTGCGACGTCATGCCAAAACGCGGAAGGGAGACGAACCATTCTTAGGTAGTTGGTTTCATCGCCTAGAGCAAAATGAGGCTCGCCACTTCCCTTTCCTCCCGCATCGCACCTCCCTTTCCTTCCACTTCGCGCTTCCCTTTCCCTCCACTTCGCGCTTCCCTTTCCCACCGCTTCGCACTTCCCCAAACGCCCGCGTCGCACTTCCCTTTCCGTCCACTTCGCAATTCCCTTTCTGCTCGCTGACACTTCCCTTTCCCCCCAGGTCGCACCTCCCTTTCCCCCCCCCAGGTCGCACCTCCCTTTTCCCCCAGGTCGCACCTCCCTCTTCCCCCAGGCCGCACCTCCCTTTTCCCCCAGGTCGCACCTCCCTTTTCCCCCATGTCGCATCTCCCTTTTCCCCCAGGTCGCACCTCCCTTTTCCCCCAGGTCGCACCTCCCTCTTCCCTCAGGTCGCACCTCCCTTTTCCCCCAGGTCGCACCTCCCTTTTGGGCCAGGTCGCACCTCCCTTTTGGGCCAGGCCGCACCTCCCTTTTCCCCCAGGCCGCACCTCCCTTTTCCCCCAGGCCGCACCTCCCTTTTCCCCCAGGTCGCACCTCCCTTTTCCCCCAGGTCGCACCTCCCCTTTCCCCCAGGCCGCACCTCCCGGGACTCACCTCCCCAGCGCACCTTCGCACTCCCTCCAATCCCTTCCTTTCACTTTGTTGTTAAGACTAAGTCAAGGGTATGATCAGATTAGGTCAAGGTTGGGGTACAAGACTAGAGTGTCGAGGAAGTTTCTGTACCCCCTAGTGCTAACCCCCATACAGCCTAGATAACCTAAACATATATATATAATTTGACACACCCCCATAGGCGAAATGGGGGATAGCCAGAGCAAGCAACGGTCACAAGACCAGTCAAGAGAAGAAACAAAACACAGCTCAGGGTGGATCACAACGTCACCACGCAGTCTGAGCACAAGCAAAAGGCCACAAGGCCAGTTCACATGCAGAGATATATACGTAACAACAACAGCACAGTGATCTCTACCTACCAGAGCAAGCATGCAGGTATATATATAGATCACAGTACAAACAAAGCCTACAGCAAGTGAGGAAACGAGGGCACAAGGCCTAACAAAGTACAGAAACGCTGATGATCACCAGACGGAAGCGCCTTGGTGAATATATCAGCAGTGTTGGCCCGAGTGGCCACGTAAGCAAGACGAAGCTGACCACGCTGCTGTAGCTCTCGAGCAATGAAGTAACGCAGAGCGATGTGCTTCGTTCTGTGCTCCAGTCTGTGCTCCTGACACAAGGCAATGGCGGCCTTGTTGTCGACGTACAGCACTGGAGGAGAACGAGGCCTCTCTCCCAAGTCGGTCAGCAGGTAGGTGAGCCAGCGTAACTCCTGTGCAGCCATGGCTGTGGCGTAGATCTCAGCCTCACAACTGGAGCTGAGAACTGAAGACGAGCGTGTAGAACGCCAAGAAACCGAACCAGAGCCAACGCTGAAGGTGTAACCCTGTGACGACCGCTGCGTAGCCTGGTCGTCATCCCAAGAAGCGTCTGAGTGCCCAGTGAGGACAACGTCGCTCCGTCCTCCAAGCACGAGCCCCATGCCCAATGTACTGCACAAGTAGCGTAGTACCCTCTTAGCAGCATCCATGTGCACCTTTCGGTGTCGACCAGGAGCCACGTAGCGAGCCAGAAGGCCAAGAGGGTACGCAAGGTCAGGACGAGTGCAGGTCATCAGGTACATGAGGCAGCCCACTAGCTCTGGGTAAGGACCACTCGGCTCTACGGACTCGTCCGAAGGTGGAGCTGAGAGCAAGTGACCTGTAGCCAGAGGAGTGTGCTGTGCCGAGGACCAGGTGAAGCCGAAGCGCTGAAGGACCTGCTGCACCATGTGTGACTGAGTCAGTGTGATGGTGCGACGTGCTCTGTCCCGGGTGATCCGCAAGCCAAGATAGCTTGTCAGCTCACCCAGGTCTGTGCGCGTGTGTCTCTTCTGCAGCTCCGACTTCACCAGGGCGAGAGCCTCAGTGTCAGCAGTGGCAAAGACCAAGTCGTCGACGTACACGAGGATGTAGAACGGTGGCAGTGAAGTGTCGGTGCGCAGAAACAGCGACGGGTCAGCAGTCGACGGAGAAAACCCAAGAGCCGCAAGTGTCGTCCTCAGTGTGCCGTGCCACTCACGTGGCGCCTGGCGGAGACCGTAGACCGGCCGCCGGAGGCTCCACTGGGTACCAGGAGGGAACGACCCAGTGAAGCCAGGTGGGCGGTGCAGCCAGATCTCCTCGTGCAGGCTGCCCTGTAAGAAAGCTGTGCTGAAGTCAAGAGAGTGAAGCTCGTAGTCACGCTGGGCGGCAACGTGCAGCAGCACCCGAAGAGTGGTCATCTTCGGGGTGGGGGAGAAGGTCTGGAAGAAGTCAACCCCCTCTCGCTGACTGAAACCTCGAGCAACGTAACGAGCCTTGAAGACAGGCGGAGAACCTGGCGGCCGCTTCACCCTGAAAATCCACATGCCACTGACGATGTTCGCCCCAGGAGGGGGAACCTTGCGACGTAGGTGCCTGTGGACTTCCAGGATGCCATCTCTGCATCCATGGCTATCTGCCACTGAGAGGAGTACTCACCCGCGATCGCCTCAGCGTAAGAGCGCGGGGTCGGGATGTCTGGTGCATCCGGGTCTCCCTCAGGGGCAAGCAGCATGGACACAAGATGAGGCGCAGCGGCTGCAAAACACTCAAGGTCCTCGTGCCTATCCTCAAGGACATCCGTGCCAAGAGCACACTCACCCCCGACGGACGGAGGACAGACAGACTCAGACTCAGCAACAAGACTAGCAGCGTAGTCTAGACGACAGGCAGCAGCAAAGTCAACAAGCTTAGCGACTAAGGCAGACGCAGCAGCAGACTCAAACGACGGGTCAGTGACAACAGTGGCTAGCAGACGTGTGACAGTAGGGTGCTCAGCACGAAACCAGTCAGACTCAGGGTCTGGAACAACAGGCAGAGAAGACTCCGGAGGGGACGGCAGAGGAACACACTGCGGAGGAGAGGAAGGACGACGGGCTACAAGGGAAGGACCGGGGACAGCCGCCGGACGCTGACGAGGAACACGACGACTGGAACGACCAGAACGGACAGGTGAGACAGGAACAGGTGCAGGGAGGGGAGTGACTGTGGTACTGTCGCGAAAGAAACAGCGTGAAGCACCAGAGTCAAGTGTAAAGGTGTTCAATGCCTGTGCAGGCGCAGTACCAAGGGGAGCAGACTCACAAGCACCTAGTGCTGCAGGGGCTATACCAGGGGCTATACCAGGATCCGGCGGCACACACAAGTAGCAGTCACCCTCAGCACTAACAGTCAATGCATACATAGCAGCAAGAATTGCCTCATAGTCAAGATCAAAGAAAGGTACATCACGCCTAAGCAGGTCTGCCTAGTTGGGGAACTCAGTAGCATCAGGAAACTTGGCGCGCCAGGCGTCGCTAAGCCGAGCGAAGCAGCGCTGCTCAGTGTGAAACCCTGTGCACTGGCGACCAGTGCGGGGACCTGTGCGAATCATATAGGGGCAGCGGCCAGGACCCCCAGAAGCCCCACGCCTGGCATACCAGTCAAGAAGCTGCTGGGAAGTGGGGGTCTGGCGCTGACGCTGCTGCTGCTGCTGCTGCTGCGACTGCTGCTGGCCCTGACCACCACCTCCACCACCGCTCCCTCCTCCCCCTCCTGCGCTGCTGCCACCTCCACCGCTCCCAGTGCCTCCGCTGCCCCCACCACCACCTCCACCACCTCCACCCCCACGACCGCCTCCACCACCTCCACCTCCCCCGCCGCCACCTCCACCGCCACCTCCACCGCCACCCCCACCTCCCCTGCCACCCTTGCCGCCCCTGCTGCCGCGACGCTTCCCACTAGGAGCGGAAGCAGCCCCGACCTCCTCAGCACCAAGGTAGTCGTGAGCAGCAGCTGCGGAGGCGTAGGAGGGGGTGAGAGGGGAGGGGGAGCACCCCTCAAAGAGGGGAGAGCGAGGAGTGCCACGAGCAGCACCTACAGCGAGGATGTTCTTCTCTGCTGCAAGGAGGTGCTTCTCGAAGTCGTCGACAGTGAGAGTGGGGGGGTCTAGCGCTAGGAAGTGGTCCCTGACCGAGCTAAGAGTGTCAGGGAGGCGGGTAACGAGGAAATAGAGAGTGAAGTACATCGGGGGGGGGGTTGCGGCGCAGAACTCGGCTGAGAGGGCGGCACGAAAGCGAGTGTCAGTAGCACGCAGGTGGGAAATGAGGTCCTCAGCAGTGGTGAACGAGGAAAGGTCGGGGAACAGGTAGGGTAGCATGAGTCGACCTATGGCTGCAGTGGCCGGGGAGGAGTAGCGCGCAACTACAGCGTCGTACAGTGTCTTAGCAGTTTTGTGCTGGCTGAAATGCGCGCGCTCAGTGATCGGCAGATGGTTCCTAATAGCTAGGCGTGCAGCAGCATCGCGAGTCTGCCACTGCGAGCGTTCGAGAGCAGGAGCATCGGCAGCAGGAGCAACGGTAGTGCCAGACACGTAATCGAACAGTGAAACGCCCTCTTTGGCATCGGTCAGAAGGAACAGTTGCAGGTCGTCTAGCCACACAGCGAACTCTATGGGGCGACCGTCAGGTTCGAACGCGAGAACATTAGGCGTCGTCATAACGGCAGCAGGCAAAGGCAGCAGAAAGCAGGCAGGCAGTAGACACGAGGCAGTAGGCAGTAGACAGCAGGCTAAGACAGAGGCAGTAGGCAGCAGGCAGTACAGGCAACGTGCAGGGCAGTAGCTTGCTACACTTGAGCTCCTAAGGTGGCGCTCTAGACAGTAGCAGGCCGCACAGTTCTAAGGCAGTGGGCTCGGCAGCAGTGAGCCTCACAGGCAGGTACACGAGGAGGGCACGCGCGGCTGTTGGCTGCGTGCGTCTGAGGGCTGCGCGCGGCTGTCTGCTGCGCGTGGCTACGTGCTGCGCGCGGCTCCTGGCTGCACGTGGCGACGGGCAGCGCGTGGCTCCTGGCTGTGCGTGGCGACGGGCAGCGCGCGCGGCTGCGGGCTGCGTGCAGCGACGGGCCTAAGCAGGCTGCGCGCGGGCGGCGTAAGGGGCGCACGGGCTCTACGCAGGCCGGCGCGCGGCTCTGCAGCAGTGGCGCGCGCTAAAACAGTGACGCGCGCGCTAAAAACCGAGGCGCGCGCGGAAAAAAAAGTGACGCGTGCTGCAGCCGAGGCGCGCGCGGGCAGTAGGCAAGGCAGGCAGGTGGTAACACAGTTAGGTGGGCCCGATTCTTAGGTCCTAGAGACCTCCTGCTCTAGATACCATGTTAAGACTAAGTCAAGGGTATGATCAGATTAGGTCAAGGTTGGGGTACAAGACTAGAGTGTCGAGGAAGTTTCTGTACCCCCTAGTGCTAACCCCCATACAGCCTAGATAACCTAAACATATATATATAATTTGACATTTGCTTCCCGTACCACACTTCAGCTTGAGGAGGATGAGTGACGGGTGCTTCTGCTTCAGCCGCCATTCCCTTCCCATATTTCTCTCCCCTGCCTCCCCATCTCCCCCTCTGCCTCCCCATCTCCTCCTCTGCCTCCCCATCTCCCCTTCTGCCTCCCCATCTCCCCCCCTGCCTCCCCATCTTTCGCCCTACGTCCCCTCGTTTCCCTTCCCCCCATTTCCCTTCCCCCCGTTTCCCTTCCCCCCATTACCCTTCCCCCCATTTCCCTTGCCCCAATTTCCCCTCCCCCCATTTCCCTTCCCCCCATATCCCTTCCCCCCATATCCCTTCCCCCCATATCCCCTCCCTTCCCCCATCCTTACTCCCCACTACGTATGTACAGGGCAAAGTTGTGCCCTTCCAAGTTCGGCGGCGCAAAGTGTGGAGCAACATGCGCAAGAGCAAATTGAGAAGCTGAGGCGACAAGAGTGGTGGAAGGCTGTTTTGTACCTTGAGATTTTTATAAGACAATAGTCCTGCTCTCGCCATGAGGCAGTGTACAGGAAGAGACCTTTACATTATAAGCTATAGCCAAACATCACCAACGCCATCACTATTGGAGTTTCAGAACCCTTGTTTGAAAGTATTTTGTGAAACTTGATACTTTATGTTTGGATACGGCGTCGGTCCACACTATCCTAAATGTAACTAGTACCTAGCTTGTCTTGTTCATTGCTTCATGCTCGACGAGCTGCACAACAGAAGGGACAGAGAAGGTGGGAAAGAGAAGCCAGGGGGAGCAGAAACAGATTGTAAGATATTAGGGGCAAGGAAGGGGAGAGCTAGAGCACAACAGGAGGGGTAACAGAGTAACAGAGGCCTTATGGAGAATTTGAGGGGTTTAGAGGAGAGGAAACAAGGGAACAATGGGGGGGAGTAACAACAGAGTGTTGGCAGCTGGGAAACATAAGGTAAGCTGGTGGGAAACACAGGGTAACCAGGGAAAAACGAAACATGAACAAGAAGGAAACAAAGGTAAGCAAGGGAGAAAGGGAAGCAAAGGGGGTAAGGGAGAGAGGAGAAAAGGCGGAGGTGGGAGTAAGGGAGAGAGGAGAAAATGCGGAGGTGGGAGTAAGGGAGAGAGGAGAATGGGCAGTCAAGGGAGTAAGGGCGAGAGGGAAAAGAGACTGGAGTAAGGGAAGGAAGAGAGGACGGGGAGGGAAGAGAGGACAGGGAAGCGAGGACAGGGAGGGAAGAGAGGACAGGGAGAAAAGAGAGGACAGGGAGAAAAGAGAGGACAGGGAGAGAAGAGAGGACAGAGAGGGAAGAGAGGACAGGGCGGGAAGAGAGGACAGGGTGGGAAGAGAGGACAGGGAAGAGAGGGCAGGGAGGGAAGAGAGGACAAGGAGGGAAGAGAGGACAGGGAGAGAAGAGAGGACAGGGAGAGAATGCCTACCCCACCGCCCCCTCTCCCCCCCTTCTCGCTGCTTATCCCACTGTACGCCCCCCTCCCCTCCCTCCTCCTTGCTGCTTATTCCCTCCTTCCCCCCCTTCCCCCCATCCTCGCTGCTTATTCCCTCCTTCCCCCCCTTCCCCCCCTCCTCGCTGCTTATACCTTCCTTCCCCCCCTCCCCCCCCTCCTCGCTTCTTATACCTTCCTTTCCCCCCTCCCACACCTCCTCGCTGCCTATTCCCTCCTTCCCCCCCTCCCCCCTCGTTCTCGTCGCTAACCTCCCTCGCAAATTGCTGCTTACCACCTCGCGCTTTTTCGCTCCCATCCCCCTCGCACCTCCGCAGTATCGCTGCTCATTCCCGTCCGCGCCTCACGCCTCCTTGCCGCAAATTCCGACTCCCGGAAACGTTTTACCCGCTACTAAATTCCGGACAGCAGTAGGAGAGAGGGGAGCTTGCCTGAGGAGAGGGAGGGAGGTGATGGGAGTGAAGGAAGGTAAGTTGGACAGCAGAAAGCGACTCGCATCGAGCAACGAGCAACGCCGATTCTGCGACGACCGTCACGAAGTGGAAGCTGCGACACCAGGCGACTAGCGGCGTGAGTTGCGCTTCGAGCCGCGAGCGGAAGGCGACGCGGAAACGCGACAAACACAAACGCGCGACCATTAGACGAGGAATGAATTTAACACGGCGACGAACGTTGACTTGAATGGCGCGCTACGATCGGCCAGCGACGGGGAGCGGAGAGGCGGATATCGGGGAGCTGAAAACGACGAGCTCACCACCTTGTTGCAAGCGAAAGCGACGAGGTGAAAGCGTCGAGGCAAAATCGTAGAGGCAAAAGCGACGAGGGGTTGTTGACGAGGCGAAAGCGACGAGGCGAAAGCGACGAGGAGAAAGCGACGAGGCAGAAGCGAAGAGGCAAAAGCGACTTGGCGAAAGCGCCAACCCTAAGCGCGGCAGAACGCGGCGACGCTGAAAGCGGGGAGGACGACGGGTACGCAGCGCGGCGACAACGCAAGCAGAACGCGGCGACGAGCGCAGAGCAGAAGGCGATGGATTGCGTTGGGGAAATGCGGCGGAGAGCGCGGAGCAGAAAGGGGGGATTGGAGAGCGCGGAACAGCAAGTGGTTGGCGGCCGGTGCGGACGGAGTCGCTAGAACGCAGTGGCAGGGCTGGGTGTCGCTGGTATTTATTGGCGACTAATATCTATAAATTTTAGTCACTACTTGTTGGAAGCTGGCTGTGAAGTGAAGTCTCTTACATCTCTCGTGAGCGGGTAGCACAACGGCAACACTTTTTGTAGGAGCGCGGAACGCGCGGGTTCAATACTTGAGAGGACACTCAGAGTTGGAAAAATAGGTACACTGATTGTCCAGAGTTTTTTTTTCATAAGTTTAGTTTTCTCTGACAAATCAGAGTAACGCTCATTATCAACCCTGATTTTCAGAGTTCCCAACAAAACAAACTGCCTGTCCTCGAGGGCGTCACAGCCAAGGGCAGACTCACCCCCGACGGCCACAGGACTGGTAGGAGGAGCAGCCACAAGACTGGTGGCGTAGTCAAGGCAGCGAGTAGAGGCAAACTCAGTGACTGCGGCAGTAAGAGCGGAGACAGAGGACAGAGGAGCACATGGGTCAGTAACAAGAGAGGTAAGAACACGAGAGAGAACAGGACGGTACGTGCGGTAGTAGTCTGTGACAGGAGTAGAGAGGGAAGCAGTGAGAGCCGACTCAGGAGGAGATGGAAGTACAGAAGGAGACGAACGAGGCGGACTAGAACGAAACAGGGCAGTACGAAGGTCAGTTAAGGGAACCGGGGACGACGAGCACGAGGAGAGCGACGCGAAGGCCAAGTGTGAGAAAGAGGAGGGGACAACGAGGGCAGAGGAGGAGGGAAAACAGCTGGGGAGGGGTCAGGAGGAGGAAGCGGAGGACCAGAGACGGGAGGAGAGGGGGGGGAGGGAGGAGAAGGAGAGGGGAGGCCGAGGGTCCGAAGACCAGAGACAGGAGGAGGAGGTGGCTGCTGCTGCTGCTCCTGCTGCGGCTGCGACCGCTGCTCCTCCAGCTGCGGCGGCTGCTGCTGCGGCTGCTGCTGCGGCTGCTCCTGCTCCAGCTGCTGCTGCTGCTGCTGCTCCTCCAGCCGCTGTAGCTCCAGCTGCTGCCGCTCCAACTCTCTCTCCTCTCGCTCCAACTCCAGATGCTCCTCACGGGCACGGCGAACACGGGCCCGGTGCCGGGTCGGGTAGGGGTGGGGGGGAGGAGTAGTGTCCGGAGCGGTGGTAGCCCCAGGACCGCTCTCCAAAGAACCAGTCGCACCACCCCCAGAGCCACCACCACCAGAAGTAACAGGGTCTGTCCCAGGCTCTCCAGGTCCAGCAGAGGGTGCACCCCCAGTCGTAGCACCCCCAGGGACAGCTCCACTAACACCAGCTCCCCGAAGACTAGAGTCTCCTGCAGTCACGGGCTCAGCTCCAACTCCAGCACCCCCAGAACCAGGACCTCGCACAGGTACGCTCTCTGCTCCAACTCCAGCACCTCTAGAGCTAGCACCTCCAGGGTCCTCGCCACGAAAACCGGCTCCCGCAGGGTCTGCTGTAGGCTGGGAGGAGGACTTCGGGGAAGGAGGCTGCACCTGAGGGGCTACCGAGGGGGGAGGGGTAGCGTGGGACACACCTGCCAAGGCGGGACCAGGGGGGAGAGGAGACCTCGACAGGGGTACCTGACGTAGTAGGGGACGGACTCGTCGAAACGGACGTCACGAGAGTCAAAGAACCGGTGAAGGGGAGGGTGGTAAAAGGTGAAGTCAGAGGAGTCCTTAGGGAAACCATGGAACACGCAGGGAACAGCGCGAGGCGAGATCTTGTCCGCGGAGGTGTCGCGAACAAGTGCCAAGCAACCCCAGACACGAAAACGCGACGCAGCACCAGGGGACCCGGTCCAAAGACTGGTCGGTGAAACCTCTGGCCGAGAGACAAAAGGCCAGAGGTTCAGCTGGTGAGCGGCGTACCGAACTGCGTAGGGCCACAGAAAATGGGGGGCACGGGCATGAGTCATGGAGGTGCGGGCGATCTCCATGACCAAGCCTATGCGGCGCTCAGCAACCCCATTCTGCTGTGGGGACTCTGGAAGCGTCCAGGACTGACGGATGCCCTTCTCGCAATAGAATCCAGCGAGAACGCCAGAGCGAAACTCACCCCCTCGGTCGTAGTAAAGATAGCTGACACGACGACCACGAGTGTCCGCAGTGGTAAGCAACCACCGGATCAGCGTAGAAGTCACGTCGGACTTCTTCGCCAGGGGGAACACTGTGGTGTAGCGGGAGTAGTCGTCAACGACCACGAGAAAGAAACTCTCTCGCCCAAGGCCAGGGCGCGAGGCGGGGCCCCAGACGTCCACGTGGAGAGTCTCGAACGGCTCGGTGGCCGGACGAAGGGAGGAGGAGTGAGGGGTGGCGCGCAGCCGACCCTCGACGCAGGGACCGCAGGGTGGCGCAAGCGAAGGCGGCAACAACGGCAAGACACGCGGGAGGCCTAAGACAAGACGCTGACTAAACATAGCGCGCAGGCGAGAAATGGACGGGTGCCCCATCCGGTGGTGTCACAAAACAGTGGGGTGGGCAAGCGACCGGCAGGAGCACGACGCAGCAACTGGACCAGACACTGGAACCTGACCAGACACAGCTACCTGGGCAGACGCGGCAACCTGGTGAGACGCGGGAACCTGACGGGGGACAGTGACAGGGGTCGGGGGCAGTATCTGTTGCTGCTGCTGCCGCTACTGCTGCTGCTGCTGCTGCTGCTGCTGCTGCTGTCCTCGGGGGCCAGTGTGAACTGTGTAGAGACCAGAGCCCGGCTCAGCGGTAAAGGTGGCGAGAGGTGCGTACGTGTCCCCGTCGACACAAACCGCAGTCTCGCCAGAAGGCTCAATCCACACACCCACGTGCTGACTCACGAGCGGCCTCACGCCCACCAATTTCCTCGAGAACGAGGGGACGTGGAAGCCGGTCAGAGAACCGGAGGGAACAGCCGGGCACGGAAGCGTAGTAGCGTAGCGAGCAGTGACTGGTCCCGAAGTGGGATCAGCCAGTGCTACAGAGACCGGCGTAGGAAGCGGGGTAAGTGTCGTGCGGTCGCGGAAGAAACAGTGCGAAGCTCCAGAGTCCAGAGTGAAAGACAGCGAAGCGTCCTCCGGAGCAGTTCCTGGACTAGTGTCTACACAAGTACCTATACTAGCAACAGGCACCTCAGCAAGACTAGCACCTAAGCTAACAACACTCGAGTAAACAGAGTCAGAAGCACTAGAGTCAACAACAGCATACATAGCATGAGGAGTTCCTAAGAGATCAACCAACTGAGAAGCCGACATGCCCCACAGAGCGGGGCCGTACGTCTGAACAAGGGGAAGCCAGTCAGGGGCAGGGCCGTCAACGCCGTAGGCCAATCGAACAGTGTCAGTAAGATGAGCAAAGCACTGACCCGGTGGGTGGTTGCGGCCACAAGGCTGGCCGCGGCGGGCACCTGTCAGAACGTGATAGGTGCATGGAGGTTGGACGACACCGCGCTGCCGCTGATGCTGTCCTGACCCCTGCCCCGAAACCTGCTGATGCCGCTGCTGCTGCTGTGGCTGCTGCGAGGGGAGGGGTTGCTGCTGCTGCTGGTGTCGCTGAGTCAGGTACCACGTCGCTGCTCCACCCCCTGCGGCTGGCAGACCAGTAGGTGGCTGACGAACCCGGGCGTCACCTCCACCAGCTGCAGCAGGGGAGTCACCAGCCGCTGCACGAGGCGCTCCTCCAGCCCCTGCACTCCCGCCGCCGCCGCTCGCCTCGTCACCCCCACCACCTCCGCCGCCTCCACTTGCTCCCTGACCGCCCCTCCTGCCACTCCTACCCCGAGACCGCGAAGAAGTCGTAACAACAGCTGCGGTCACGTCAGTAGCAGCAGTGGCGAGGGAGGCAGTAAAGGTGGGCAGCTGAGGGACAGTGCACCCGTGGAACAGTGGAGGGGGCACAGCAGCAGAGGCAGAGGCTACCGAGCGGAGGTTGCTCTCGACGTCCTTGAGGGCCGACTCAAGGACCTCGATAGTGAGCTCGCTAGGGTGCTTCAGAAGAAGCGCGTCACGAACCGAGGCAAGGCGGTCAGGGAGACTAGTGGCGATGAAATAGATAGTAATCGCCATGGGGGGAGGGAGCAGTGCAAGCTATGCGTCAGTGCAAGCAGCGCGGTAGCTAGAATCGAGCGAGCGCAGATGAGTGATCAAGTCAGCAGTGCGCTCAAACGAGGCGAGGTCAGGAAACAGGAACGGAAGGAACAGGCGACCAAGAGAGACAGTGGTGGGAGTAGCGTAGCGGGCCTTGATCGTAGTCAGGAACTCACTAGCCGTGCGAACCTGAGTGAAGTGGGTCTCCTCAGACTCAGGGAGGAGGCTGCAGAGGGCAATGCAGGCCGCAGCGTCACGCGACTTCCACGCTGTCACGTCAGCACGCTCGCGTGCATAACGGTCACTGTCTGCAGGTGTGGGGTCGCCTGCTAAGGGTGCAGGGTCAGCGGGCTCAGGTACGTCACCGGAAGCGTGCGCCCACAGAGTCTCGTGTGCCTGAACCTGGCTCTCTAGGAGGCGGCGCGCACGCAGGAGCCAGACCGAGAACTCGAGCGGCCTACCCTCAGCGTCAAAGCGCAGGACCCTAGGGGTCGCCATAGCGGAAGCGTAGAGGTGGATACTGCTGCTGCCGAAACCCTAAACGCCTGAAGGGCCTGCGTAGGGCGTGACAGACAGTGCGTCGCGACGGGATAGGACGCGACTGGCAGGGACGGGCGCGACAGGCGCGGACGGGCAGGGCGCACGGGGCGCGACGGACGGGCAGGGCGCAGCGGGGGCGCGACGGACGGGCAGGGCGCACGGGGCGAGATGGACGGGCAGGGCGCACGGGGCGCGACGGACGGGCAGGGCGCACAGGGCGCGACGGACGGGCAGGGCGCAGCGGGGGCGCGACGGATGGGCAGGGCGCACGGGGCACGACGGACGAGCAGGGCGCACGGGGCACGCGCGACGGGACGGGACGGGAAGCGCGACGCGACGGGACAGAAGGGACAGGCGCAACACGACGGGACAGCAGGGGGCGACGCGACGGGATAGCAGGGGCGACGGGACGGGACGGGACAGCAGGGGCGACGCGACGGCAGGGGCGACGGGACGGGACAGCAGGGGCGACGGGACAGCAGGGGCGACACGACGGCAGGGGCGACGGGACGGGACAGCAGGGGCGACGGGACAGCAGGGGCGACGGGACGGGACGGGACAGCAGGGGCGACGCGACGGCAGGCGCAGCGGGCGCTAGGGCACGAGAGAGACGAGCGCGATAGGCGCTAGGGGACAGTACGGGCGTAACGGGCACTAGGGTACGGGACAGGCTCGGGCGCTACGGACGTGAACGAGATGAACGGGATCCCACATGATCCTAACCTAGGTGATACCATGTCAAGAATGAAAGTGTTGGTTTGACTAAGGTTGGTTGGGGTACATAAACCTAACCCTAACAGTTGTACCCCCTATAACACACATCACTAAGACTACAACATTTGACAGTGCCAACTATTTCTGGTAAATTGTTAACAGCGCGAGCCAAATAGACATGAGCAAGGACATAATAATGAGAGCATCATGGTTGGTCTATGACTAGGATGTTATTCAGGCCTTTTCTATGTAAACCTTGATCACGTTTTTTAGTAAACGTTCAGGCCTTGGTTCGCAGGCACATGACATTTCTCCTGGAGTCTATCGGAGGTGTTGAGGTTGTGTTGGCAGTCGCTGGCCTTATGCTTCTAGTCGGAGATGAGGTTGATGCAGACAACTCAGGTTGCTGGTTAGAAACGGGACGAATAGAGCGGAGCATAAAGTCCACCTGGTGATGGAATGGAGAGAACGGCACTCAAATCTTCGTGTTGAATATTATAGGGCACAATACATCCACAATCTGTACAAAAAGAATAGACTATCCTACACCCCCAGATTAGCACGATCAGTAAGTCAGAAGTCCACAGGCGCATGGTCTTATCGGACACAGCATCATGCGGCACACGGCCTGGGCTTGACCGCACAGAGCAGCAGATGCAATGCTCGCAGCGCGCCGAGCACCACACACCACGCCCTCAGTCGCGAGAACCAGCAGCCTACACCAGAAGCTGCCTGCACTGCCGCTCCCACCGAGCTCGCACACAAGCCAGGCCATTTATTGATGATCCCCTGCCACATGGCACGCAGCGACAGGTCGACGAGCGAGAGCGGCAGGAAGAGCTGCAGCGACACGACTGCGCGCTCCACCAGCACGCGCCTCTCCCGCCCCTCGCCCTCCCTCCACCGCTGCACGCTTCCCTCGATCTTTACTCCCTCTGGCCCGGCAATCCACGTCATGCCGGCCATTGCCACGTCAGCCAGCGAGGCATACGAGTTCCGAACCCGCCTAGCCTGTCGATTGGTTCGGGGAGAGGGAGCCTCACCACCGGTAGACCGACCTTGCCTGGGCAGTTCTGCCCCGACCTTTGTACACCCAACGCTGCCGCAGCTGCTGCTGCAGCTGCTGCTGGTGGCCCCATCAGTGCTGGGTCGGCAACCGTTGCTGCCACGGCAGCGCGGGGCCTCGCCAGCTTTGTTCTGCTGCGCGTTCGAGGCGGAGTGCGCCACTCCGCCACGAGCAGCGCGCCCCTCCGCAGGCTTTTTGTTTTCAGCAGGGGCTGATTGCCCCGTCTTCTGGTTCGCGCGGTCGCCGCCGCTCACCTTCTGCTGGCGCGGTTGCGCCGCTCTCTGAGGGAATGGGTCAAGGGATGAGGAGGGGACGGGAAGGGGGAACGGGGTGAGAGATGGCTCACGTTGACTCGGGAAGCACCGAAGGTGCAGGTGTGGGTGACGTGCGGCGTGGGCGATTTGAAGGCCGCACGCCCGCCTACGAGTGCTACGCCGTTCCGCGCACGCGCCTCACCTGCAGCGCCGTGGGCGTCGGAGCCGACGGCGGTTGCGCTGGGCCGCCCCGCTGTCTGCCTGCGCCCCTGCCGCCGCCGTCCTTCTCCCCCTTGGCGCTCTCCCTGTGCGCCTCTTCGCCGCACAGCCACGTCTCGAATGCGTCAAACTCGCCATTCGCGCGCCCAGCGCCCGGCGCGGGTACCTCCGCTTTCCTCGGCGCGCTGCCCTCCTTCCGCACCCTTAGCCTCTCGGCGGTCACCGCCCCCGCAGGGCTTCTCGCCCCCTTGGCCCGCGCTGTCGCACCCGCGCTCACTGAGTGCTGGCTCTGGCGGCGAGACGAACCCTGTCGAGCCGCGTCGCATCGCACAGACGTACGTGCGACGATGTGCGACGGCTGCTGAGGGGTCTGCGACCGGAAGAATTCCAACCGAAGAATGTCATCGTTTCCTGAGGAACAATCGCACACGGACAGAGAACAGCAAACACGGGAAAGGTGAGTCATGCGGGCTACAACACTAATAACAGAAGATACAGCCATTAGCTGAGCAAGAACGAAGCCGTGGAATGAGAAGTGCGGAAACGTGCTCACCTTTAGCAAGGCTCAAAAGTGAGCGTGGAAGAGGACTAAACACGCGCGTAGGTCGAGGGTAAACACTGATTGCGCCTTTCAGAAAGGCAGTGCTGCGCGGCGGGCTGCATGCCATGGCCTGGTCCAAGATCTTCGAGGAAAGATTCAAACATCTATTGCGACACCTAGTACCGTTGTGTCAACAGGAGCGCCTATAATGTTAGTGGCCTAGGATACTGTGTCATGTTAGTAACCGCTACCCGTAGCAGCACTCTGGTGCGTCATGGTGGCGCCACACGAAGCTAGCCCCTACTGGCGAGGGCTGGTACCCCACCATGCGATTCAAGTCTAACTCATTCAGCTAAATACTCGGATGCTGCTACTTCCTGTCTGCTCGTCGTTTCGGAATCATGGCTGGCTTTGGGGGCAAAAGCCGCCACAGCGCTTCAGGGAGCGAGTGAAGGTGTTTCGCTCGTGTTGGGTGAGCGACCCTGCGTTGGGATGCGGAGAACGTGAGACGAATGGGGAGGCGGGGAGCACGACAGGCGCTTATGCTGGGTCGGTTGGTTTGACGGTGGTGTCGAGGCGCGCGCAATTTGAAGTTGCGCGCCTCGACAGAAGCTCAGTGTTTTTTCGAAGGAACCGGGAAACTGGTCACAAGCAGGCATGCCGTTGCAAGCGCCGACGTGGAAAATGTTGGTGGTGGTCATGCGTCCCTGTTATTGAGGGGATCGCGATGCTATACCAGTAAGGGACATTTGGGCATGTCCTAAGATGGGGTACTACCGATTAGTGAAGTGTCATTCTCCTGTAAATTAAAATTTCTAACCTTGGTAAAAACAAGCAACACAAGCCACTTCATCTAAGAAACCGGTTTCACTGTATATCGTTGACTCATAGGGTTACATCTCCTTCATTTACACAGCTTGAGCTTCCTCATGTGGGGTGCGACAATGCTCTTGGGGTGTGGGAGAGTGGCGATGCAGGTGGGCATGTTCTCAGGCTGCTCCATCCACACGCGGTGCGTGATGCCCGCCTCCTGCAGCTTCTTGGACAGATTCAACAGCTGCGTCTCCCCCTTCACCTCCAAGGTCACCTGTGTGTGGGGGGGCAAACAGGGGGAGTGGAGGGGTTGGTGTGGGGGTGGAGGGGGGTTTAGGGTTGGGCACGACGGGGAGGAGCATTGTTTGGAGAAAGAAGAGCAGGAGTACAACACCGGATGAGGTGCCAGACAATGAGGTTAATGGCCGTAACGAGGCTGTGTTATAGCTGCTTTAAAGCTGCAGTTCAAATCTCAGACTGAGGTGAAGTGACATTGGGAGAGAAAATTAGTCATGCGCAAAGTGAGAGGCTTGGCGGGGGAGGAAGGGGGGAAGGTGAAGTAAGAATGGCAACAAGTGAACAAGTCGAATGGGGTGAACATCTGTGTTGTGTTTGAAGGTCAAAAGGAAAATGGAATTTGGGGGGGGGTAGCAGTGCAACAATGCAGCAATTGGGGGCATCAGACAAGGGGAGAGTGGAACCAAAGATTTCATACAAAGGTTGTGGATAAACACTGCATGTGAGAGGAAGTGGAAGAGGAAGGGGGAGAAGGAAGTTTTTAATAGCACGAGGGGAGCCGAATGAGGGTTGTGAACGAAAAAAAATAATTAGACTTTTTTTGCAGGGCGGGTCACTTGGAGCTAAAGAGGACTTGACGTGAAGCACGACTTCCAAAGGTGAAAGCCAAAGTGTGCTGTGAATCAGTGTTGCACGGCAGGGGGGAAACACAACTGCCAGTGGTTAAGCGGATGATGACTCCTGAGAACGCTATCACTTCACAGCTGTAAACTCAACCACTCGTATTTTCAACGAAAAAAAATGAAACCCCAGCATTTCAGAGTGGAGCCATCGGGTTACCCTTCTTCGAGCTCAAACCGAATGTTCAGCGCGGCTTCTCCGATCTGAACGCTGCAATGTGCTGCAAACCTCATCCCCAGCAGCAGACGGGAATTCCAGAAATACCATGTGAAGCAAGACTGTGAAGTGTCTAATCACGTGTCCATTAAAACAAAAAAAATCCATGCAATCCAAAGGCAAAGAACAAAGCTTGGAACACTGGGTGCCTTGAGCCACAAGCTTATTGAGAGCCACAGGTGCAAGTTGTTGAGCCCGCGTGCGCAGCAATGCCCACGGGGCAGTGAGCAGGTTTGTAACCCACCTTCACGAATTGGCAACACTGTGTTGCCGAATAACAGAAGTGCTGCAAACCTCACCCCCGGTAAGAGAGGTCCATTCCCGAATACCATGTGAAGCGATAGTGTGAAATTCGATTTCGGCAAGCTCAATCAAGGGTATAAGGTTTCAAATTTCCAAACCTGAAAGCATAACCTCGAAACACAGGGTGCCTGAGAGCCAGAGATGCGAGTAGTTGAGCGCGCTTGTGAGAAGCAAATCCCACGCGGCATTAAGGCACCCACCTTGCGCATGGATTCGAGCTGCCCACAGTACTTTAGCACGTTGCGGTGATCGCGATGCTGCCACAGCACGGCCACACTCGCATGGCTTTTGAGGCGCGTCAAAACACGACACACCCACCTTGAGCATTAGTCCCCAAGCAGCAGTGACGGTGGCACACCCACCTTGCGCATAGAGTCGAGCTGGCCACAGTACTTGAGCACATTGGGGTGATGGCGGTGCTGCCACAGCACGGCCACAGTGGCATGGCAGCCCTGTGTGATCACCGACCCCAGCGGCCACTGCAGCGCCTCCATCAGGTCGCGCCGAATCACCACGTGCTGCACCAACGGATCCTCCTCTTCCCCCGCCACTCCCTCCCCCTCGCCCTCGCCCTGCGCCTGTCCCTGCCCCTCCCCGCGCCCATGCAGTGCTCCTTCCCCTCCCCCACTCTTCTCCAGCGCGCCTGTGGCGCCTCCCTCTGCTGCCCCCTGTGCTGCGGTCCCCTCTGCGCCCTCCGCACCGCTTGGCCCAGCTGGCTGCTCTGCTGCAGCGTCAGCAGCAGTCCCGGACATACCCCCACTCAGTCGGCTCCTGGCGGCGCAGACGGTGTGCAGTGGAGAGCGGATGGCACTCACCCGCCCTACGTGCGCTTGATGGCTGGAAGGGTGCACGCGGACAGCTGATGGTGATGGCGGCACAGACACGTGGTTGCTGCTGCGGCACTGCTGTGTCTGCTGTGTGAGAGCGCAATGCCTGCTGCCCACGTGCCTGATGTGCTGATTGTGCCGGGTGTGTGCGCAGGGGGGGCCGGTTACTGAGTGGGTGGTGCGAGATGGCAGGACGAACAGGGTGGGAGAGGCACAGGGAGCGCGCGGGAGAGAGAGGGCTGCTGTGCAGGAGGCGAAGGGGCGGGGCATGCGGGCTGTACGGCGTGACTCACGAGCGGTGTGCGACACAGCGAGTGTTCTTGTAACGAGGGCCTCTGCAGTACTGGGGATGGAAGGGATGAAGGAAAAAGTGGGTGGAAAACAGGGGGAAGAGAGAAGAGGAGGTAAGGTCTATGGAGCTGATGCCATCAGCGCGTGAGCTGCTGGCACGATGCGCCGGGTAATGCGCGATGGAGGGCATGAAGTAATGCGCGAGAAGAGGTAAGGTTTATGGGGCTGGGGCATCGGGTAATGCGCGATGAGGGCAGCAGCGCCACCCATGCGTTGGGAGGAAGGAGGGAACGAGGAGGCGAGGGAGGGCGGGAGGGAGGAGGAGAGCGGTGGGCTCACGTGGGGCGGCGCAGCATCATACAGAGGGGCGCTCGGCGCTGCACGCGCGCGCGTGCTGCTGCTGCTCGAGATGGCAGCCCCTTGACGCCCTCGAATGTGCCGCCCGATCCGCGCGACCTGCGCGACCCGCGCGATGCGTGGTGCAAATCACGCAGGGGGGAAAGCACCACGAAGGAGTGGGAGAGGGAGAGCGAGAGGAAAAGAGGGAGCACGACCCTGTTGCGACGCCTAATGTTCTCCGTTGAGTGTGAGGCAGCGCCGGAGCGAAACGAGGTGAGCAGGGAGGGCGACAAGCATCCCACACGCGGAAGGAGCGGGAGGAAAAGGGGGGAAGGGTTGAAGGTGTCCCGCCGAAATTGTTTTGAAACTGGGGAGGGGAACCACAAGGTCACCTTCACGGGGTAACCCTCACAGTTCCCAACACAGTTCCCCGCAGAACCTCTCGGCACTGGCGACGTAATCGACTCTCGCAGAGGTTTTCGCGCACCTTGTGAGTTGTACGAATCTTCAATTGTAAGTGGGGCCAGTTTTACAGTCGATGAAGTTTCTCAAACACTCCCTCGACGCAAGCCATCCGCCCACTTGTTCAACCAGGTTCCTGGACAGTCAAACAACTTCACTATACGAACAACACGCCTGGGGTAACTAACAGGAACAACCCTTGCGCTACTCCAACGACGAAGTCTTGCTTCGGGCTGCGAATGGTAGGAGAACCTTCTCTTGCGCGCTCGGACAGACCAATCGCGTGCGCGTCGCTCCCCAGCTGACTATCCAGCCCGCGAGAATCGCCTGGGTTAACGCCGAACGACCGTGGGGGTTGTAACACGGTTCTCGCACGAAGGCCGCGAGAAACATTCCGCTGTGATGGGAACGGATGGGAGGGGCGGTTGGGGTAGCGCCGAAAACCACGAGCTGAGATTTGATAGCGCAGGGGTTGGGGAAATCGGCGGCGGCGGGGGGGAATTTGGCGGGGGATTCGACGACGCTGACGGGGCGGCGGACGGCGACGAGAAGGCAGTGGCGCGCGGGGGAGAGGCGGGCGGAGGGGACGCGAAGGCGGAGGCGCGCGGAGAGGGACGGGAGCAAGGAGGGGCAGGCGGCGGCGAGAAAGCGGAGGATGGGGGGAAGGAGCAGGCGGCGAGCGGCGCTTACTGCGCGCGGGAAGCGAGCCTGCACGCGGAGGTGGGCGGCAGGGGGAGGGAGGGTGGGGGGGGTGAGGTGGAAGCATGACGGAGGTGTGATTAAGGGGGTCAGGGGGGAGAGTAGTGAAGGGGAAGCAGTGGAGGGGAAGTGGTCGAATGAGATGGGTGGATGTAACTGCTGCATGGCTGATGGCGGTGCATGGCTGATGGCGGTGCATGGCTGATGGCGGTGCATGGCTGATGGCGGTGCATGGCTGATGGCGGTGCATGGCTGATGGCGGTGCATGGCTGATGGCGGTGCATGGCTGATGGCGGTGCATGGCTGATGGCGGTGCATGGCTGATGGCGGTGCATGGCTGATGGCGGTGCATGGCTGATGGCGGTGCATGGCTGATGGCGGTGCATGGCTGATGGCGGTGCATGGCTGATGACGGTGCATGGCCGAGGCAGGGCATGGCATCTGAGCCATGCTACTGCCCGGGCGTGTGGCAGGGTTGGGTAGATAAGCTTGGTTGTGTGTATGGCTGTGATCCAACCGATTGGCGCGTGGGCGTGGGCATGGGCATGGGCATGGGCATGGGCATGGGCATGGGCATGGGCATGGGCATGGGCATGGGCATGGGCATGGGCATGGGCATGGGCATGGGCATGGGCATGGGCATGGGCATGGGCATGGGCATGGGCATGGGCATGGGCATGGCATGGGCATGGGCTGGGGCATGGGCATGGGCATGGGCATGGGCATGGGCATGGGCATGGGCATGGGCATGGGCATGGGCATGGGCATGGGCATGGGCATGGGCATGGGCAGGGGCAGGGGCAGGGCATGGGCATGGGCATGGGCATGGGCATGGGCATGGGCATGGGCATGGGCATGGGCATGGGCATGGGCATGGGCATGGGCATGGGCATGGGCATGGGCATGGGCAGGGCATGGGCATGGGCATGGGCATGGGCATGGGCATGGGCATGGGCATGGGCAGGGGCAGGGGCAGGGCATGGGCATGGGCATGGGCATGGGCATGGGCATGGGCATGGGCATGGGCATGGGCATGGGCATGGGCATGGGCATGGGCATGGGCATGGGCATGGGCAGGGCATGGGCATGGGCATGGGCATGGGCATGGGCATGGGCATGGGCATGGGCATGGGCATGGGCATGGGCATGGGCATGGGCATGGGCATGGGCATGGGCATGGCATGGGCATGGGCATGGGCATGGGCATGGGCATGGGCATGGCATGGCATGGGCATGGGCATGGGCATGGCATGGGCATGGGCATGGGCATGGGCATGGGCATGGCATGGGCATGGGCATGGCATGGCATGGGTGTGAGTGTGTGCATGCAGGCTGGTGGGGTTGAAGAACATATTCTCACGGCAGCTGCCCAACATGCCCAAGGACTACATCGTGCGCCTCCTGCTCGACCGGTCAGTGTGCCGGGTGATGCTGAGGTGGGGGTGATGCTGAGGTGGGGGTGATGCTGAGGTGGGGGTGATGCTGAGGTGGGGTCGGTGCAAGCGTAAGATGGTAACTAGTCTGTAATGCTGCTGATCCGGTGCTCTTCGCAGCCTGCATGCCTCGTGTGCTCATGTGTTTTCAGTTCATACTCCCCTTGCCCCCCCATCCACACACACACACCCCCCATCAGAACGCACAAGTCAATGATGCTCATCAAAGCAGGCACGGTCGTTGGTGGCATCACATACCGCCCCTACCCCTCGTGAGTGCCCCTACCCCTCGTGAGTGCCCCTACCCCTCGTGAGTGCCCCTACCCCTCGTGAGTGCCCCTACCCGTCGTGAGTGCCCCTACCCCTCGTGAGTGCCCCTACCCGTCGTGAGTGCCCCTACCCCTCATGAGTGCCCCTACCCATGAGCAAAAATCGAGTCGAACCGAACAGTTGTTTTTTTTTTGCCCAAAGTAGTTCGGGACGAACACGTTCGAGTGTTGGTAAGCACAAAAGCACTCGAACTCCTAGGTGTTCGAGTTCCCAAAGTGTTTGTCGGGAACGCTTTGGGTTCGAGACCAGCACGCCAGATTTTGAGGGGAGAGGGTCCAGAAGCAGTGGTGAGCTGGCACCACCAGAGTGGGCGCTGGAGGGGGAGGGGGTTGACGAGGGGGATGAGGAGGAGGCTGTTGCCGTGGCAGGAGGAGGGGGGGTTGGGGGAGTTGCATGAGGACTTGGTGGGCTCTCAGGTTTAATTTTGAATGTCCTTGACTTGACCTTGCCATTGACATGTTGCTCGTTGACTTATTCATCCATCTTTGACTAGACCTTGAGTGCTCAGCATTGTTGATCGTCGCTCTTATCTTTCATTAGATTGTGATATTGCTTGTCCTACACGCGCCCTGATTTTTTTACATGCCCTGAATGTGACTATACTGAAAGTACCCCCGAAGGCAAACTGTTCGAGTTTGGGTCAAACACCTTAGTGTTCGGCCTTGCCTCAAAACTTTTCGACCCTATACTCGAACAGGGAACACTAACATTTAGGAAAACTGTTCGAGTCAAACGTGTTCGGTTCGCTCGTTGCTCATGTCTAGGCTACCCCTCGTATGTGTGTGTCCATTTTGTTTACATGAGAAATCATCATAAGTTGTTTGTTTGCAAAACCTAACTGTACTAGTATGTCCTGTGAGCAGGCAGCGGTTTGGGGAGATAGCGTTTTGTGCCATCACTGCCACGGAGCAGGTGAGCGGCATGAGGGAGAGCGAGCATGTAATCTCCATGAGAATACTCGCCACGTGTGTGTGTGGGTGCTCTCAAGTTTCCCGTGGGTGTCCAGTGAACCTTGCTGTGCGTGTGCGTGTGCGTGTGCGTGCCAGCTGTACGACTGGGTCGAATGCTGGCTGCATGCTGTGAGCTTCAGGTTGGGGTTGAAGTTGCATGCTGTAGCTGGCCGAGTCCATACCGGCTGTACCAATGCAAATCGTTTTGTGCTGCTGCATGCTGTGCATGGTGCTTGTTGTGTGTGCTGTGCTGTGTTGTGCTGTGCGGGGTGCAGGTGAGGGGGTACGGCACGAGGCTGATGAATCACCTCAAGGCGTATGCAAGGGATGAGGACGGGCTGCGCTACTTCCTCACCTACGCCGACAACAACGCCGTCGGTTACTTCGTTAAGCAGGTGCCGCCCATGCTGCCCATGCTGCCCATGCTGCCCATGCTGCCCATGCTGCCCATGCTGCCGATACCGCCCATGCTGCATGCCTGCATGTGCCATCTGCCTCAACGACTCTCTCCTTCCTTGCCTAAATGCGTACTGCATGTGTGTGGGTGTATGTGTGTGTGTGTGTGTGTGTGTGTGTGTGTGTGTGTGTGTGTGTGTGTGCGCGCGCGCGCGCATGTGTGCATGCGTGTGTGCATGTGCGGGTGTGAATGTGCGCATGTGGACATGTGTGCATGTGTGCATGCGCGTGCGTATGTACATTTGTGCATGTGTGTGCATGTGTGAGCATGTGTGAGCATGCGTGTGCATGTGTGCATGTGTGTGCATATGTGCATGTGTGTGCATGTGTGCATGTGGGCATGTGGGCATGTATCCATGGGTGCATGTATGCATGTATGCATGTGCATGTGTGTGCATGCGTGCATGTGGACATGCAGGGATTCACGAAGGAGATCACCATGCCTAAATCGCAATGGGAGGGGTACGTTGGTTTTCTGGGCCCGCACCAGTCCATTCCCACCAGTCCATTCCCACCAGTCCATTCCCACCAGTCCATTCCCACCAGTCCATTCCCACCAGTCCATTCCCACCAGTCCAGTTTCACGAATCCAAGCCCACCAATCCAAACGCACCACCTGATTGTTGTCGTATTCGTTTTCCCTTTCATCCACTCATCCCTGCCTCCGCACCCCTCGCCCCGCCCCCCTCGCCGCTCGTCCTGCGGCCCAATGGGCACAGGTACATAAAGGACTACGACGGGGGCACGCTGATGGAGTGTGTGCTGGAGAAGGGGCTGCCCTACACCACACTGCCCGCCGTGCTGCTCAAACAGCGCCAGGTGGGGGGAGCAGCGCCAGGTGAGCTTAGCAACAGCTGCGCCACACTACGCCAAGCCACACCACGCCATGCCATCCGTGCCGTGCCATGCCATGCTCATGCATCCATCTTCCCAGCTGTAGCTCTCCCTCACCGCCCTTCCCTTCCTCCCCACCCCTCCCTCCCCCCTCCTCTCCACGCAGGCCATAACGAAGCGAACGAGGCAAGTTGCGCGCAGCCATGTGGTGCACCCCGGGCTGGACTTCCCGCGTGACTCCTGGGGCGTGCCCAGGCGCGCCCTCAGGCTCGCCGACATCCCCGGACTGGCCGAGAGCGGGTGGACGCCCGAGCACAGCGCCGCCAATAAGATCCGATTGGTGCAGGTGGCTCCAGATGGGACAAAGGATGTGAGCCGCGACGGGCCGCCCACCAAGGCCCAGCTGCACAACCTGATGAAGCAGATGCACCGGGTAGGGAGGGCAGATGCACCGGGTAGGGAGGGCAGATGCACCGGGTAGGGAGGGGCGTTATGGCTGCGGTAGCATGCACGAGACAGACCCATGTACATCAGGTAGATTTAACGTGGGGAAGCATGCAGTTAGCTTCTCATTGTGCCTTTCCCATGCCATATGCTTGTCGCCCCTTCTGCCCTGCTGAATGATCGCCACTCCTTCCAATTTGCATGCAAATTTGTCTCAGCTTGGTCTTTTTTGCTGCACCATGCCACCATACCTCGCATGGCGAGCAGGCGGTGATGGAGCATGCGGACTCGTGGCCGTTCAAGGACCCCGTGGATGGCAGCGAGGTGCCCGACTACTACGACATCATCAAGGACCCCATCGGTACGACATCATCAAGGACTCCATCGGTATGACATCATCAAGGACCCCATCGGTATGACATCATCAAGGACCCCATCGGTATGACATCATCAGGGACCCCATCGGTGAGCGCTAGTGCTACTCGCCACTGCCTGCTGCTACCTCTACCAGCCCCCCCTCGTGATGACTGCCCCATCACGAAACTCCTACTCGTGTGTCGTCTGCCCTGTATTGATTACTGCTCCCACACTCGCATCCTTAAGCATCTCACCCCCACTGATTGCTGTTCGTAGTTGTGATGAATGCAGCTTGTGCTCGGTCACGTGCATAACGGGCATGACCACGTGCAATTGATGGCTTGTGCATGACCACGTGCAATTGATGGCTTGTGCATGACCACATGCAATTGATGGCTTGTGCATGACCACATGCAAATGATGGCTTGTGCATGACCACGTGCAATTGATGGCTTGTGCATGACCACATGCAATTGATGGCTTGTACATGACCACATGCAATGGCTTGTGCATGACCACATGCAATTGATGGCTTGTGCATGACCACATGCAATTGATGGCTTGTGCATGACCACATGCAATGGCTTGTGCATGACCACATGCAATTGATGGCTTGTGCATGACCCCATGCAATTGATGGCTTGTGCATGACCACATGCAATCGATGGCTTGTGCATGACCACATGCAATCGATGGCTTGTGCATGGACGTGCTGTTCCTCTGTGCATGCCATCATTTGCATGTGGTCATCCCCGTTATGCACTTGTGTGCACCCATCCCATTTCGCACCTCTTCAGCTCGCTCCTACTTCTCCGCCTCTCTCCATCGTCGCCTTCCCTATTGCCCACCCTCCCTTACTCCCCTGTCCCCCCTGTCCCCCCTGTCCCCCATGTCCCCCCTGTCCCCCCTGACCCGCCTGCCACCCTGCCCCCCTGCACCCCCATGGCACGGCAGATCTGAAGACGATGCAGAAGCGGCTGGAGGCGGAGAGCTTCTATCTCACCATCGACATGTTTGTGGCTGACATGCGCCGCATGACCGCCAACGCTCGCACCTACAACGCCCCCGACACCATCTACTTCAAATGCGCCAACAGGTGAGGTGCATGCGTGATGTGGAAAAGATAGGAGCTTCAGGTGACGTCTCAGGTGCTCCAACAGGTGATGCGGATCCAACTCAGTTTCACTTGCCCTCGGGCTCCCTTGCCTCCACCTACGCGCATCACCACTTACTCCTCCCATCGCCCTTTCCTCCCACTCCCCTCTCCCTCCCCACCCCTCCCTGCGCCCAGGTTGGAAAACTTCTTTCTCAACAAGCTCAAGGCCTCCGTGCGCCTGCACCACGGCTGACCCTTCCTGTTTCGCTCCTCTCCACCCCACGGCACCACTCCTTAATCAGCCAGAGCTTGTGGTGGAATAGATCTGCACCGAGGGCCTGCCAGATGGCAAGAGAGGTGGGAGAAGTGGGATGGTGCTGTGGCTGTGGCGATACTGGAGCACCGCTGCTCCACTCCCTGCCTTGCCAAGACTGCCCTCGCTAGCGAACTCCCAGTGTTGCACCAACACATTCCCACCGGGCCTTGCATTGTCACCCTCCCTGCTTTCCTCGGATGTACTGTATTCGTATAAATAATAAATTTCATATAAACTAAAATATATGTTACAGTGTATTTTTTTACTCAACCAGCATGCGCAGCCCATCACACAAGGTCGGGCCAGACAGCATAGTCAGAGCGAGGGTCCTTTGGATCATGCAGGCCATCTTGGCATGCCATGAGGTACGCGGAGCGAGACGTGTCGATGTTGACCACTGCATGGGCACTCATGGCGGGGCATGCCATCACCGCCACGTCATCCGCTGTCAGAATGACCTCAGCAAAGCCCTTTGCCACGTCACGGTTCTCGTTCTGCGAGGAGACACACGGGGGCAAGAGAACGGGAGGGAACGGGCATGAGGAAAAAGGTGACTTGTGAAGAGAGAAGAGGCATTCTTATAGGACAATGAAAGCAGTTGACGAGGAAAGGCGCACTGACTGATGCCAGGCACTCATGCCACTCACTCTTGCTGTTATATTCTCCACATTTGCTGCCATCAGTGCCATTACAGTGCCATCACAGTGCCATTACAGTGCCATTACAGTGCCATCACAGTGCCATCACAGTGGCAGCACAGTGGCAGCACAGTGGCAGCACAGAGGCAGCACAGTGGCAGCACAGTGGCAGCACAGTGGCAGCACAGTGGCAGCACAGTGGCAGCACAGTGGCAGCACAGTGGCAGCACAGTGGCAGCACAGTGGCAGCACAGTGGCAGCACAGTGGCAGCACAGTGGCAGCACAGTGGCAGCACAGTGGCAGCACAGTGGCAGCACAGTGGCAGCACAGTGGCAGCACATGCATGAGAGGTGGATCACACTTGCAGCAGCTGCTCCATGCCACACCTTATTCCCACCTCTGCCCCCACCACCCCACCACTCCACCACCACACCACACCTGCCTTGACCATCATTACCCAACCTTTTCAACCTCCTTGTAAACCACCCTTTCACCCACCCCAGCACCCTTTCGACTTACCCTCACCTCTCATTCCCCCACTCAACCGCACTTTCATTCCATCACTCACCCGCACTTTCATTCCCCCACTCAATCGCACTTTCATTCCCCCGCTCACCCGCACTTTCATTCCCCCGCTCACCAGCACTTTCATTCCCCCCACCCGCACTCTCATTCCCCCTCTCCACTCACCCGCACTTTCATTCCCCCCCTCCACTCACCCGCACTCTCATCCCCCTCTCCACTCACCCGCACTCTCATTCCCCCTCTCCACTCACCCGCACTCTCATTCCCCCTCTCCACTCACCCGCACTCTCATCCCCCCTCTCCACTCACCCGCACTCTCATTCCCCCTCTCCACTCACCCGCAGTCTCATTCCCCCTCTCCACTCACCCGCACTTTCATTCCCCCCCTCCACTCACCCGCACTCTCATCCCCCTCTCCACTCACCCGCACTCTCATTCCCCCTCTCCACTCACCCGCATTCTCATCCCCCCTCTCCACTCACCCGCACTCTCATCCCCCCTCTCCACTCACCCGCACTCTCATTCCCCCTCTCCACTCACCCGCACTCTCATTCCCCATCTCCACTCACCCGCACTCTCATTTCCCATCTCCACTCACCCGCACTCTCATTCCCCCTCTCCACTCACCCGCACTCTCATTCCCCATCTCCACTCACCCGCACTCTCATCCCCCCTCTCCACTCACCCGCACTCTCATTCCCCCTCTCCACTCACCCGCACTCTCATTCCCCATCTCCACTCACCCGCACTCTCATTCCCCATCTCCACTCACCCGCACTCTCATTCCCCATCTCCACTCACCCGCACTCTCATTTCCCATCTCCATCTCCCCCTTTCGTCTCACCCTCTCCCCGTTTCGCTGTGCTCCACTCACCCGCACTTTCATTCCCCCACTCATCCGCACGTCTCATTCCTCGACTCTTTCCCTCCCCTCTCCGTTCTCCACTCACCCGCACTTTCATTCCCCCACTCATCCGCACGTCTCATTCCTCGACTCTTTCCCTCCCCTCTCCGTTCTCCACTCACCCGCACTCTCATTCCCCATCTCCACTCACCCGCACTCTCATTTCCCATCTCCATCTCCCCCTTTCGTCTCACCCTCTCCCCGTTTCGCTGTGCTCCACTCACCCGCACTTTCATTCCCCCACTCATCCGCACGTCTCATTCCTCGACTCTTTCCCTCCCCTCTCCGTGCTCCACTCACCCGCACTCTCATTCCCCCACTCACCCGCACTCGCATTCTCGCCCCCCACAGCACCAACGTCTCGTTGTAGTCGTGGTGCCGGTGGTTTCCACGAATCTTCTCAGGTAGCACCTCCCCCACATGCGTCATGAGGCATGACGTGGCACCCCCTGGGAGGAAAGGGGAGGGGCGGCACAGAGGGCACCCGTGGGCTCAAAGAGGCTTGAGATGATTAACTAGAGTTTAGTTTAGTGAATTAGGTGCCGAGTGAGATTTAGAGTACGAGATGAGTCGAGCACATAACAGCTTGAAAGCATGAGGAGAACAAAACGGCATGAGGAGGACAATGAGGAGGACAAAACCGCATGAGGACATAAACCTCCTCTCCCCTCCTCCCACCCTCGTTTTCAACACCTTCCACCCCACCCTTCACCTTCCACCCCGCCCTTCACCTTCCACCCCGCCCTTCACCTTCCACCCCGCCCTTCACCTTCCACCCCGCCCTTCACCTTCCACCCCGCCCTTCACCTTCCACCCCGCCCTTCACCTTCCACCCCGCCCTTCACCTTCCACCCCACCCTTCACCTTCCACCCCGCCCTTCACCTTCCACCCCGCCCTTCACCTTTCAGCCCAGCGGCCACCGCTGCAGCAAGCGGGTCAACCATCCACCCGCGCGCGTCCTGCCTCGCATCCGCCCCCTTCCCCTCCCCCCCAACCCCATCTCCCCCCTCCTTCACACCCACGGCCAGTCGCACCACCCTCGCCGTCCCGTCGAACCGCATCGTGCCGCCCGCCACCTCGTCCCGCCGCGACACGGCGGGCGGCGGCCGGCTGGTGGAGGCGAGGAGCAGCGCGGGCGGGGGGGGCTGCGCGTGGGAGAGGGCGAGGTAGGCGAGGAGGGCGGCGAGGAGGAGCAGCACGGCGAACGGCGCGAGGAGACGCGACACCACGTCGCACCCGTGCGGCTGCTGCCCGCCCGGCAGCTGCTGCTGCGCTGTGAGCTGCCGGTGGTGGCCGGGCTTGTGCGCGCCGGGCGCCATCATGGCAGTCAAGTGGGGATCGACGCTCAGACTGGCTTGCGTCAAGCGACGCTGACGCTTGACATACGATTTGACGCTCAACTTTCGGTGGGGAAACAACTTGTGTGTAAGAATCTCGCATCACTATTTCGCGACGAAATCGGGGCTCACAAAATCGAATTTGCAACTTACAAACGCAACTCGACAACTCCCTCTCTGACAAAACCAGCCCCTACACCACATTTAACCGAACTGAAACAAGAAAACCCAACCAGCACACTCAAAACTAGGCTTGGGCATTTGACCCGAACGGGTCGGGTAACCCGACCCGAACCGACCTTTTTGGCGGGTCGGGTATTTAATTCTGATTGGACTACCCGGGCGGGTCGGGTATGTATACCCGCGTCGGGTAACATATACCCGATACCCGACCCGGGTGTTGAAACTGTTGGAAACAATTGATCTTAAGCGCCTCTGTCGTGTCGAAACACTAAGGCACAAACGAAGCGAAGCATATCGAAGCACCGGCGAGTCAACCCTCGGAGGTTGAAAGCAACTGTTGGAGGTTACGCGAAAGCCAAAGGTCAGCGACCTTTGACCTGACAGAGTACAACGCGACAGCAAGGACACACAACTGACTCGCTACAAAGCAGTTGCCCGAGTCGTCACTGTATCGAACCGCAACAGCAACAGTAAAACAGTTATAACTGTAACCCTTCATATTCCTTGTACTCTTATATATAATCTTGTATCTCTCTGTTTTAATTAATCAACTTTGCCCTCACATACTAGCGCAAGGTGGTTCACAACTCTTTATTAAACGCTTCCGCTATTACATCAGTCCTACCCAGAGTTCACCCCTGCAAAGATCCTAAGGGCTATTTTCTCAGCCCAACATGGTCTGAGAGCTATCAGGGGGAATTCAACTATCAAGACACCTACAACATCAACAGGCATGGCTACACAAAAGGAAAGGAGCTCCTCCAACGGCTCCCAGGGCACTACTCCTACTCCACCTCCTGCCTCTGGCCTACAGATAGAGGAGGGTACGGCAACAAGACCCAGGGCAACATCCATCGAAACTCCCGCAAACCAAGCCGCGGGCTTCGACCCAAGTATGATGGAGAAGTTCTTCTCCTTCATGTCTTTCTACGAGCAACACCAGCAATCGGCACCTGCGCAGTCACACAATAGCAACAACAACGGGGCAACTCCCATGAGTCTCGATGGCTCATCATACGCACGAGGAAATCAACAGCAGCAGCCTACCTTTGCTCCGTACGAGCGCGGGTCCATTAGCTTTATGCCACACCCGCAGCCTTCACCTGGACAAGAAAAGCCACTGGACGCATTACAAGTTCAGTCGCAGTTCGCGCACGTTCTGAAGATGCAGACGTCAAGACCTTTCGATGGAAAGGATTTCTTCACCTGGTCGTTTGAATTCGAGTTAATGATGGAAGGCGCGCAGATACTTGGCTTCTTCGGCGGGTCCCTACCATACCCAACAAACGGCACACAGTATGAGAAGCAGCAGTACACCTATCAGTCGATGATGGCGTACACGATTCTACTGAGAAACATCACCCCGACTCAACAGCAGAATATACGGTCTTACCGGGGTTACGGCAACTCCGCGGAGCTCGCATACAACCACTTGAAGAGCCTGTATCAAGCAACAGACAGCGTAAATCAAAGTCGGTTAATGGCGCAACTGACAACGGTCAAAATGAAACCAGGCGAGAAAGGAATGGCGTATATCAGCCGATGTCGCGAGTTGCGCGACAAGCTTCTTCGATGCGGAGGGTCGATTTCTGAAGACGCCTTCGTGACAGTCATCATTGGCGGCCTCGGTCCTCAATGGCGCGCCACAAAGGCCATTCTCCGAGCCCACGGAAGAATCTCCGAAGCAGCACTCTGCGCCGAAATCCATGCCGAGCAACAAGACATGGACCTGCAAGAAGAACGACACAAGAAGAAGACATCAGCACCGGAATTTGCATTCCACACTCAGCGACGCTACAACAACAACAAACAACAACAACCGAAGCCCGTACCTTCGTTCTGCCACATCTGCAAGACGTCAGGGCACCCGCGCACGCACTGCCCGAATCGACAACAGTCAACGCCTTCACAGCGGCAGCTTCGACCTTCAAGCAATCAAGTCGCCTCAACACAAGCAAATCCTACGACCCAGATTAAAGCCTCAACGACCTCAACAGGACAACCTGCACAAGGAGCAATGAACATCGTCAGTTGCATGGCAAGACTGAATGACTCTTGCATCACGGGATCACCACCGTACTACTCACCGGAAGAACAACTCGACGACACCACACCTCACCGCGATTCACTCCAGCCGAATCCGACATACGCAGCCATCGCCCAAAGCGAACCATCCGGAAAGGACACGTGGTTCTTGGACAGTTGCTGCGGACAACACATGTGTTCTTCAGGACGCTTCGTGCAACGAGAGAACCAACTCCAACGCGAAGTAGTCATCACCGTCGCCAACAACGAAAGCCTGCGCACACGACGACAAGGAATCGTTCAACTTCAGTCACGAGAGACAAATGTCATACTACAAATGTCCAAGGTCTTAATCGCAGAAGGCCTCGGCTACAACTTACTCAGCATTAGCCAACTGATGGCTAAAGGTATCCACCTTGAAGCAGACAGCACCACGCAGGAGTTCAAGCTGTACCACGGGAAGGGCGGTCTCTACATCGGAAAGGCGATCCTGAAAAATAACGTCTTCGTTCTTGATTTTGTTCCAGATCTCGGCACAGCAGACAGCGACGGCATCGTCACCTTCACTTCCTGGACCCACCCTCTAGACCTTGATCCAGACTTCAGCCCCGGCGGCTTCTGGTATTCACACACCATCCCTGAGGCAGAAAAAACAAGGGCGTTAGCAACAATTCAAACAACATCGGCAGCAGCAGAGACAACAACAGAGACAACATCGGCAGCAACAGAGACAACATCGGCAGCAGCAGAGACAACATCGGCAACAACAGAGACAACATCGGCAGCAACAGAGACAACATCGGCAGCAGCAGAGACAACATCGGCAGCAGCAGAGACAACATCGGCAGCAGCAGAGACAACATCGGCAGCAGCAGAAACAACATCGGCAGCAGCATGAACGTCAACGCCAGTCGCTGGTCCTTCAACGGCACCACTCCTCGTCGACGACACACCACCGACACCCGCGCAACAACTACACCCAGCACCACGAGAAGTTCATCGAAGCGCCAACTTCACCGCCAGCTTCTATTCCAACTCCCATATGTATCGGCGCTCACCCGGACATCGCGCCACCGAAGGAACCTGGCACGGAAGAATGGGACATCCAAGCAACACGGTGTTAAACAACACGATAAGAGCAGGCGTGCTCGATGAAGACTCTCTACTCCTAACTGACGGCAGAGAACTTCAGCGAGCTCGAGGAACATGCTTCACCTGTCCCGAAGCTGACTTACCACATCAACCGTTCGCGTCTCACCACAACCCAAGCGCACCAGCTTACGCGCCACTCGAGAAGGTGTACAGCGACATCTTGTACAACCGCGAGCCTGGACAAAACGCGTACAACTACACCATCACCTTCATCGACGCCGCCACACGATACGTCTGGCATCTAAACCTTCCGAGCAAAGACATGGCCTTCGAAGCCTTCGTCGCGTGGCTCCCAGTAGCAGAGCGAGAATCGGGCGTCAAACTGAAGAGCTTCCAGTCAGACGGGGGAGGAGAATACACCTCACAAAGGTTCAAGCAGTACTTGGCTGAAAGAGGAATCAAGCGGCTCATCTCCCTTCCCTACGCCCATCAACAGCAAGGAGTAGCAGAGAGGATGAACAGGACCCTCCAGAACACCATGCGCAAGCTGCTACGTGGCATGCACCTGCCCAACCACCAGTGGCCCGAAGCAATGGACCATGCCGTCATGCTGCACAACTTGCTCTCGTCATCATCGCTCCCGAACAACGCATCACCGCACCTGCTGTGGACAGGAAAGCAGGGCAGCACAAAAATGTTAAGAGTCTTCGGCTGCATGGTACAGTACCGGCCCCCATCTGCACGAGCCGGCCGATTCTCTCAACGCGCACAGTGGGGGCTACACCTGGGCATTGAAAAGCATTACAACGCATGGAAATTTTCGACGTCGAGACAAAAGAGACAGTGGCAGCACGTGACGTCATTTTCTACGAAAACCTCACCCTCCGGTATTACCTTGCCAACTTGCAAGAAGAAAACCCCGATCGCTCCGCTGGTTTTCAAGGCACCCGAGCCTTCGCCTCGGCAGACGACGAAGCTGACTGGGACGAGCAGAACGTGGAAGGAGCCTCGGAAGAAGCCGGACCCCTCCCCTACTGCTCCGTCGACGTGCCAATGGACGACGAAAACCCACGCGAAAGCATCAACGCCGAAGCCTATTACCATTTCGCTGACAACGGTTACGTTACACCTGCACAAGTCAACACCGACGAAGCAGAACGCGTAGGACCTAATTTCGCACCTGGTCCAGAAGCGGGAGACGAAGCAGTTTATCCCGAGGACACTTCACTCCCCCGCTACACACAGAGTGGACTCCAAATCCTTGGTCTCGTCACAGCAGTTCACGGCGCAGCCATTCCTAAAGAGCTTGCGACAGTTCAATAGGCTCTGGGGGGGGAACATAAGGAAAAATGGCGCGAAGCCATGGACAGGGAGCTAAAGGCGCTGGAGGAACGCAACACCTGGAAGGTCGTCCCTATCGGCGTAGCACGTAACAAAACAGTACTCATCGGGAAATGGGTCTTCCGTGTGAAGACAAAGGCTGACGGCACCATCGACAAGTTTAAAGCTCGCTGGGTCGTACGCGACTTCACC